AATAGTGAGAATAGTAGGACTAGAGGACACAAGTATAAATTCTGGCACAGTAGGAGTCATCTTCAGCTAAGACAGTTTTATTTTTCTGACAGGGTAGTTGGCCTTTGGAATAGGTTGCCTTCGGATGTTGTAAAGGCAATGTCAGAGTTTAAAATATAATTCTTCGCCAACTGTCAGAATTTAAAGGCTTTTAGTTATATTTCTTAATAGTATAAATAAATACTAGTTGGGCTTAGGATTCCTCCACACTAGGTGTCTGTGGCTTGTTAATGTTAAATTCAATGATGAATAAACAGTATGCACTTCACTTGTTTTCAAAATTATATATATTCAGAACAAGTTAACATATGTACAATAAATTCTTCAACACTATAGATATTATGGACATATCATAAATACTATATATGTAGTTCTCTCCTTCTTGTCAAGTATCCACTTAGGCCTATTCAATTACTTTAGAATTTCAGTTGACAAGCCGAGACATCTTCTCTATTTCTATCGTACTAGTACTCTCTGTGATTCACTTACAATTGTAGTGCTAGTTACTGTAATCATTTGGTCTTCTTTCTTTTGAAGATCCTCTATTCCTTTTGTCAAAGTGCATCACGCTGATTAAATTACTTTAGAACCACACTTTGACAGAATAAAATTATTTTTCTTATCTTCTTTTCTACTGTTAGTTTCACTCTAACATATTAACCATTAGGCCTATGTCAATCATTAAGTCTATCACTTCTACGGTAGTTAACTTCACACCAACTTTATTCTCTTTTGCTATTACCTGTCTGTTGCCTCCCACTCGTCTCATACTATTTATATCATTATCACTTACTCGTCTGCCCACCTTCTATGTTCTTGACGTCAATGAATCATTAACAAAACTTCCTACGTTCACCTGTTTTTAACTCTAATTATAACAAAAACTAAACAATAATAAAAATATTCACTCACTAAAATAAATTAATCACTAATATCTAAACCAAACAGTCTTTTATATCATGACAAGCAGTAAATTATATACTTGATAAGTATATAAATGATAAGGGCTAGCTTCAAGATTTTTTTAAATTATTTTAATTTAGTTTAGAGGATGGAACAGCTGCGAAGGACCAATAGGTCCAACGTTGTCCCAAAATGTTATGTTATGTAATATCCTTCATTAAAGTAAATTGAATTAAACTATTTTATCATGAAAAATGTTTTATCTACAAATTTCATTTAATTTACAAATTATGACATTAGTTATTTAAGCTTTTCTGCAATTAACACAGCCTTTTCTATCCATACAAATATATTTTAGTGAACTATAGTTGTACAGTTGACAAGGTACACTAAATTACTTTCCATAACTACAGACAAAAATGGATATTTACGTAAAGCTAGTTCATCCAGTTTGTTGGCAAGAGATCTTCGAGCTAACTGTAGCTCTTTGTTTTCAGGGTCTTCCAAATCCTTGCGCATCCATTTGTAGGGGCTGATAACACGATCTTCGGGTGTTAATCCTTTAGGTGAAGAGTACAACCTGCAATAGCAAAAATGGGGGGAAAAAATTACAAGAAACACAATAATTGTTTGTATTACATGTAAGAATTTATGTAAAATTATTCGTTAATTGACCATTTGCTACAAGATTAATGTAATGAAAAATGGTTCTGGTCAATCCATCTGTCAAGCCCAAAGTTCAGACTCATTTCAGAAACTTAGGTCAATAAAATCAACTTCCTTTCTTTAGAAATATTCCCTCTTAAGTAGTAACATAAGTCACATCTACAAAACATGGCTGCCTGTAAAGTACATAAAAAACAAACACACTAAATAGCACCAAACAGAATTCCTCACTAATACCTCATAACCTTAAGAAATGTCTGTGATCTGAAACTTCTCTTCAAACATACTTTTCATTGCATATGTACACAGAGAAGCAATTATGTGGACTTGCATTACTTGCCTTTAAGTTTTCAAACATAAATATAATGTTTTTTTAGAGTACACATTCAAAATCATGAAGTGACCAGCATCATATGTCCATAATGTGTCAGTCAAACATGTGTATTTGAGTACCATGCACTTAGGTACAGTATATGACACCAAGCTGTTTAATGTAGCTGTGATAAATTTTACAAAAATAAGCAAGTTTAAATATATATTTTTACAATCATGTTCTAGTTACAGAGAAATGAAATTTTTACTCAAAGAATGTAAAAAACAACCATAAGACTTGAACTTTGTAATTAAAGTTATAGTGTACAGGAACATGAAATTTTCACTATATACATGTGTATCAAACTTCAAGCACATGACTAAATGAATCTTATCTTGCTTATTTTATATTTATCATGTAGTGATATCACAAAACTTTGTGTTTTTGAAACTGTATACTCAAAAGTATGTCATTTCCCGTAACCTAACTCTTAAGAACCTGCAAACACATTTGTATATAGGGAGTGTGTGTGTTTAATAATCTTCAGTAAATATACAAAATTACACAACAGCTTTCAATAACTATGACATCACTGGATATTTTGTAAAAGTATCACACAAAAAGTAAATGTTGGCTCAGATATAATCATGATAGCAAAATTGCTCATCATAATGTATAAAATGTGAATTAAACAACACATTCAATTACATATTACTTATCCACTAAAAAATGAAAAAAGAAATTTAGCAAGTTTATGTAAATTAGTCACAAAAATTATAGCGAAGGAATTCAATTAAAAAAATTTCCAACAACACTTCCTGCTGATTCCCTTAAATCACTGACTAATATGTAGCATGTTTGTGCCATAACAGTATATATGTGTGTATGAAATAATAATCTAAATGACATTTACAACAGATCCTGTCTTTTGATGTAACATTCTAAACAAATTATGTACAAGTTTAACGAGTTACACAAAATAAATCAAGTGTGCAATTATGTTCTTTTTGGTAGCATTTCAGTGTAAAAACAACTGATAGTTTACATATATTCCATAAACAAATCTTTCTTTTATACATGTAAAAGTAGCATATGACTGTTCATTCACAAGATAGCTTACCAAACGAGGAAAAAAATACATTTTCAGTAGCATGATGATTCTAGTTTTATGTAAATGAATGAAAATAGATACAGATAAAACCACAATTGTAGACAATAGGTACACACATACATACATACAAATATATATATTCACTTTTTTATACTTATAAAGAGCCTTTTTAGAAAAATACTTATGAAAATTTCAGAAGCATAAGCATACACATGCAGGTACACAAGAAATGCTTGATGGTTATATGCTTGGCTGGGATGACCATTGTTCACTGTACATACATTAAGCTTGATTGTTGCTGTAATTATAGATGTCAAAGATACATATCCCTCATGTCTAGTGTAATAAAATGTAAATAATTTCTACATATTTACAAGCTGCTGTTTTGTTAATTGCATTTTTTAAACAATGATAACATCAAATATTACACTAAATTCACACATTTTCATTAGTAACTAAAACAACTGAATTTATTCAATGGGTTTCAAAAACAGAGACCAAGTCCTTGGTATGCTTTTGTTATCTGTATGAAAAATGTACATCTACAAAGCCCACCTACTGGCAAGCAGCCAATACTATCTAGTGTTACTAGCTATGAAAACCCCTAGAATCTATTTATTAGATAAAAATCCAATGAACAGTTGAACTAGTTTATCCTATTGAGGGGTTGATAATGTTGTATTTCCAATATATGTGTCCAATGGAACAGTGAACAGAGGGTGTCTGGAGACTTCCTCCACACTTTCACCTACTTCTTAAAACATCTGGTCTGGTAGGTAAATTGTGGAAGCTGCCAGACAACTCTGTTATCAGTAACAGGTACTCCTACATGTACCGAAATGTAGAGAAAAACAACCTGTAGACCTGTACCTGTTATGGTAAACAGCATGAAGAACCAAACACAGTACCAGACTGGTTATGGTAAACTAGTTCACATCTCTCTACTTTTAATGGAATAAATGTATCATCCACTTACTGGTACCCAGGTACCTGTTGAATCATATAACCTGACAGCTCAGACACTATTGAAAATCTTGCTAAACATGTACATGTGATTTGTCTTGCATAGTGTCTTTATATGAACACCATCATTATGTTTATCTGTTTCTTTTTTAAAGAAGCGACATGTTGTGTGTTAAGTTAGTTATACTTCATGAAAGAAAAATAAGACAAAGAGAGAATATTTTTTAATAAAAACAAGTTTTTAACATGTTCAAAGAATCATTCTTATGAATTAAATAATTTTAATATAATGAGAAAGTTTCAGATTTAGTAATAATGGTTTTACAAAGAGGGGTGCTGACAAAATTTTAAGGGATTACATAATACTTTCTTTGAGCATTCCCTGTAACAAATTATTCAGTAATGTCACAGAATAATTTTTTTTAATTATGTTTTCATGCAACAGTTTACTAAACTATTGTATTTCATAGCTTGGATTCTTGGATATTTTTTAAATATAACAATGCTTATTATTGAAACAAAAGCTATTTTTAAATACTTAATTTGAATGTAACAAAAGTTTAAAGGTAATATTAATGGAACAGAAAACTTGGTACATTTACATGTACAGACATAGCTTCTAATATGTTATATTTCTTAGCAGGTGTAACCACTCATAAAAGGTTTACGAAACATTACAGGATCTCGTAACATATTTGCAACAACAAAATTATAGTTATCTGTGTATTTACACAACTATTAAACATTACTTTAACTTCTAAGGCCTGACACAAAAAAAGCAAATAAATATTCATGTGTATTAAATACTATCACAATAAATAAATCTCACTTATTTTGATGTGCATGTGTGCAAAAGCATGCACAGTGTACATATTAATTTGCAAGTTACATTAGTAATAATAAAAAAGAAAAACCCCAATGCTTTAGACAGGTTTACCTGTCTTCATCAGGGTTAAAGGTTGAATGATTCTTTTTACCTAATGAAAAGATGTCCAACTGTTAAATGCACTAGGATTTGTCAGATTTCTGAAAGTGATTTACCAGTTTTTTATCTTATGCATTTTTAATAATCAAATATTAAGATTGTGATGATATCAATAACTGTCATATTTAGAAGCCTATAAGATCACCGAAGTCCAATTATTAATAGCACCTTTATTACTAAACAGGGCCAGCCCACTGAGGCAATCACCTCAGGCCCCACACTTCAGTGGCTGAGTCAATTGTATACTTCTACTATCCAAGCTCGAGAACCTAATCCTGAGTACTCGCATCATGCCCCACACCCTCCTAAAGCCAGCCCTGTTACTAGATACTAGTTAGTAGTTGTAATCACGGAGAAAGATGAATGCACCATCAAGCTCCAAACTCTAGTTGATGACAGCCACAAAACAAAGATCAAATTCAAGTCTAATCCAACAGCTAACACAGAAACAAAAATTAACCAACTCCTCATTAAGCACCAGAAGAGAAACAATCTGATAACTAACACAATAACACAGTACATCCCAGTACAGCCGAGTGACTTAATCAATTAATCGATACAACCAATCACCGATAAGGAGTGATTACGTCAATTAGTATCCCAAAAATAATCAACTAATGAAAAGTAGTGTTTCCCATTATGACCATTTTCAATTATTCCAAAAATAATTAATTGAAATTATAAATAAATTGTCATAGAAATAATTAACCAATCAAAATTAAGGTTTCTGATTGTTACTATTTTTGATTATTCCAACTATCCAAGTAACTGAAATATTTCCATTATGTTTTTTTGTTGTTAAGACAAAGCTACATAAGAGGCTTCTGGACAGTGGCCATTGTGGGTATTTAAACCCAATATTAATAATAATTTTTTTTTAGTTTCATGCTTATTCAGCTTTGAACTAGCATAGTCTGCATGCTGGTAATTTGGGTGGGTAGGTGCTGCTTATAATTTTGGGGTCTTGAGGGAGATTCCCAATGCCACCGGACTTGCTCATCTCGTCTTTGATATAATAAAGCCAATAAGGCTATTTGCCACTGTCACTATTTTGGAGCTGCTGACTAGAAGGAAGGAAACTGGCACACACCAACTCTTTTGCTACTTACTCAATAAAGTGCTCAATAAAATGTAAATTTACTTTTTTAATGTTGTATAAGTAAGTGTGGATCAAGAGGAAGGGTCCAGGGTTCAGAACCCCCTTCATTTTTTTTTTCCAGAAATTAGTAACTATCATTTAAAATTGTGTAGGCAGGCATGGAACTAGAGAGGGATCCAGACATCCATTTCATACGTTTTTTTTTCAGAAGTTAATAAAAAACTACTAGGCATATTTACACCACCAAATAATAACAAGAACAACAACAAGATGTTAGTGTTTATATTTGATTGAACTATTAATTACCACAAAAGCTTTTATGAGGTTTTCTGAAATCAACACACCTGGGGTCTACAGCAATCCAGTTAAGACCTCAGCTAAGAACTGATTATTTCTAAGCTAATACAACAATATGAACATGAGTTAAGCATTGCCAAGGTTCA